AATGAGGGCGGGCCCAGTGGCTCGCGCCTGTAATCCCAGCACTTTGGGAAACCAAGGCAGACAGATCGCCTGAGGTCAGGAGTTCAAGACCAGCTTGGCCAACATGGTGAAATCCCAACTCTGACTAAAAAGACAGAACTTAGCCACGTGTGCTGGTGCATTCGTGTAATCCAGCTACCTGGGAGTCTCAGGTAGGAGAATCACTTGAACCTGGGAGGCAGAGGTTGCAGTGAGCTGAGATCGTGCCACTGAATTCCAGCCTGGGCAACACAGCAAGACAAAAGAAAGAGAAAAAGAGAGCGAGAGAGAGAGAGAGGAGAGAAGGGGAGGGAAGGAAGGAAGGAAGGGAGGGAGGGAAAGAAAGGGCAGTTGAGAAGCTGTAACACCTATTTATGATTTTTAAAAACTCAGAAAAATAGAAATAGAAGGGGAACTCTTCAAGTTTTTTTTTTTTTTTTTNTCTTTTCTTTTCTTTTCTTTTGAGACAGAATTTCATTCTTGTTGCCCAGGCTGCAGTGCAGTGGCGCGATCTCGGCTCACTGCAACCTTCGCCTCCTGGGTTCAAGCAATTCTCTTGCTTCAGCCTCCCAAGTAGCTGGGACTACAGGTGCATGCCACCATGCCTGGCTAATTTTTGTGTTTTTTTAGTAGAGACAGGGTTTTGCCATGTTGGTCAGGCTGGTCTCGAACTCCTGATCTCAGGTGATCCAACCGCCTCAGCATCCCAAAGTGCTGAGATTACAGGCATGAGCCAGTGCACCCAGCCAGAACTCTTCAACTTGATAAAGAAAATCTAAAAAAGAATTGTGCTTAACAAAAGAATGAATACCTCCCCTCCCCAACACATAACACTGGGAACAAGGCATAGTTGTCAAGCACTGAAGGAACATACATCTTACCACTGCCAGTCAACACAGTGCTGGAAGTTCTTTACAGCACAGTAAGGCAAGAAAAGAAAATAAAAAGCATACAGATAAGAAAGGAAAAGGTAAAATTGTCTCTATTTGCAGATGACATAATTGCCTATATTGAAAATTCCAGGGAATCTACAAAACTCTCCTACAACTAATAAGTGAGTTCAGTAAAGTTACAGGATACAATATTAACACAAAAATCAATTGTATTTGTACATTCTAGCAGTGAATATATAGATACCAACATCAAAAATATAATACCATTTGCAATCACCTAAAACACGAAATAAGTGTAAATATAACAAAATATGCACTGTATTTGCATGCAGAAAACTGGATAACACTGATGAAAGATCAAAAAAGATCTAAATAAGTATTCACAAGTCACCTGTCAGAGGACTAGTATCTACAATATATAAGGAACTCTCAAAACTCAACAGTAACAAAAGCAAACAATCTAATTAAAATACAGGGAGAAGTCAGTTTGCCAAAGAACATATACAATGGCACATGAGCACATAGAAACCACAATGCTGTATCACCATACACCTATCGAAATGGCTAAAATTTAAAAAATACTAACACCAAAGCCTGGTGAAGATGCAGAGAAACTGATTCACTCATACACTGATGGTGAGAATGTCAAATGGTATAGCTACTCTGGAAAACACTTAAGCTGTTTCTTAAATAACTAAACATGCAACTACCATAGGATCCAGCAATTGCACTCCTGGGCATTTATCTCAGAGAAGTGAAGACTTATGTTCATAACCTATATGTAAATGTTTACAGTAGCTTTACTCACAATAGCCAAAAAGCATAAATGACACAGATGTCTTTCAATAGGTAAATGGGTGGAGAAACTGTGGTATATTCATGTTACAGTATGTAAACTCAGCAGTGAAGAGGAACAAACTATTGATACCTGCAACAACCTGGAGGAATCTCTAGAGAATTACACTGAGTGAAAAAAGCCAATCCCAAAACATTACATACCGAATGGCTCCATTTATATATTCTTGATATAATAAAATTGTAGAATGTAGAACAGATTAGTGGTTGCCCGTGGTTAAGGAGCAGGTGGGTACAGGAGGGAGGTAGGTGTGGCTGTAATAAGGGCCACATAAGGGACCTTTGTGGTGAGGAAAATGTTCTGTATCTTCACTGCATCAATGTTAATATCACAATTGTGACACTGTACCATAGTTTTGCAAGACTTTCATTTGGGAAAACTGAGTAAAGAGTACATAGGATATTTCTATATTATTTCTTTTTAAAAAATGTTATTAAAAATTGTGTTTAGGCTGGGCACAGTGGCTCACACCTGCAATCCCAGCACTTTGGGAGGCTGAGTTGAACAGATCACTTGAGGTCAGGAGTTCAAGACCAGCCTGGCCAACATGGTGAAACCCCATCACTACTAAAAATACAAAAATTAACCAGGCATGGTGGTGTACACCTGTAATCCTAGCTACTCAGGAGGCTGAGGCAGGAGAATAACTTCAATCCAGGAGGCAGAGGTTGTAGCAAGAGTGCAGTGATCATGCCACTGCACTTTGGCCTGGGCAACAAAGAGAGACTGTCTCAAAAAAGAAATCATATTTAAAAACATGTAATACTTACCATCTTAACCAGTTTTCACTGTAAAGTCCAATTAACTGTAAACATATTGCTGTGCCACAGATCACAAGAGGTTTTTCCACTTACAAAACTGAAACTCTATTACCCACTGAAGAACAAGTCCTCATCTTCCCCTCACCCAGCCCCTGTTTCTATGAGTTTGACTACTTTAATACCTCATATAAGTGGAATCATACAATATTTGTCATTTTGAAATTTGCTTATTTCACTTAGCATAAGTCCACTAGGTTCATCCATATTGTAGTATGTCACAAAATTTCCTAAGGCTGAATAACATTCCATTGCATGTATATACAACACATTTTCTTTATCCATTCATCTACCAATGGACTTTTTTTTTTTTTTTTTTTTTTTTTTTTTTTTTTTTTGCTAATGTGAATAATGCTGCAGTGAACACGGGTGTGCAAATATACCTTCAAGATCCTGGATTCAAGTCTTCTGGATATATACTCAGAAATGGAATTGCTGGATCATATGGTAATTCTATTTTAAATTTTCTGTGGTACTTCTGTTTTCCATAGTGGTTGCACCATATTACATTCCCAAGAGTGCACAAGAATTCCAGTTTCTCCACCTCCTTACCAACACTTGTCATCTTCTATTTTTGTGATAGTGACCATCTTGAGGGGTGTAATGTAATGCCTTACTGTAGTTTTGATTTGCATTTCTCTAATGATTAGTGATGTTGAGCATCTTTTGATATGATTGTTGGCCATTTGTACATCTTCCTTGGAGAAATATCTATTCAAGTCCTTTGCCCATTTTTCTAACCAGGCGATTTAGGGTTTTGTTTTTGTTTTGTTACTGAAATGCAAGACTTCCTTATGTTTTTTAGAAATTAAGACCTTATAAGATATATTATTTGCAAATAGTTTCTCCTATTCCTTAGGCTGCCTATTGATTGTGCTCCTTGATGCACAAGTTTTTAAATTTGACATAGTCCCATGTATCTAGTTTTGTTTTTGTAGCCTCTGCTTTTGAGGTCATCTCTTTCTATATTCTACATTTTCTATATTATTTCTTACAACTGCATGTGAATCTACAATTCACATGCAGTTTATTTATCTCAAAATAAAAAGTGTGTAAGTGGTATCATGTAGTAACTGTTCTTCTGTGTCTGGCTTATTTCAATCAGCATAATGTTTTCTAGAATAGTACCTAAAGTAAACAATACTGTCTTGTGTACTTAAAAGACCAGTAAGAGGGGAGATCTTATCGGGGCAGGAGGAAACTTTTGGAGGTGAGCGATAGGTATATGGCATAGAGTGAGGTGATGGTTTAATGGGTATATACTTATCTCCAAACTCATCAAGTTGTATACATTAAATATGTACAGCTTTTTGTATTTCAATAACTCAATAAAGTAGATCCAAAAAGTGTACTTAAAAAATAGAAAAATAATACCATTAACAGTTTAAGTGAAAATTACATAGTCTAATCTCTTCACTTTACAGTTGTAGAAATGGAAGTCATAAAGACATATTTAAGAAAAGGGATAAATAATTCTGCAAAACGCAGACTTTTTTTTACTGGCAGTCTTATTAATATGAAAGATATAACCTATATCTTATGTTAATGACAATCAACTCTTAGAGAACATTCCTCTTAGGTTAGACTGAGAAGTAAAGTAGATAGGTTATATAAAATAATCATACTAATATATTTATGATGACTCAAACTTCTTAACTCAACATTTAAAAGTATTGCAATTTCAGCATATTCATTGCACGTTGTATTTATAGCACTAAAAGTCTTACAGTTTTAATGATCACATGAAAACTTAGTAACGGTTTGACGCTTTTTGCAAAAATTAAGAAACTCGACCAAATGTTACAATTAGAAGGATACTGTGCAGTATTAACATTACTCTAAACAGATATGGCTCTTCAAATAAAGGGGAAAAAAATCTCCATACACATTTTCATTAGTATCTGAGTAACAGCTTCTTGAGTTGTTTCTTTCAGAATCTTTCTATGGAAACCACAGTTCTACAACCACAGTCATTGCAGAATTTACTCTGGTACCTAGTTCCTTAACTCACTACTCAGCCTAAAACAGATACCTCAAGATCATTTATCTTATGAGGAGAAACAAGTACGAGCCAGTACTCGCACCCCATGGTAGCTCTCTTTTGGTATTTTTTGGCCCAGACTAGTCTACAAAAAAGCCAAGTGCACTTCAAACTGGGGGTTGGGGGCAGGGCGTGCATTGGAAGTTGCAACCTGAAGAACAGCGTAAGAATCCCACAGTTCCGCAGTGAAGGTCAAGTGTCTCTTCTGTTTGAAGTAAAAACAACAAAAGAAAACAAAACAGAAAACAATATGCAAATTCTATCCTTTCAAATCAGTTTTTTACTTTCATCTACATTTAAAATGCTTAGTCCATTATTGATTTTTCATTTCTATTATCTTTTATAGATGATTCAATGGCACATGTTTCACTTACCTAAAAGAGGAAGTAAAACTGGGTAGTTATAAGGCATCACAAAGAGGTTTACACAAGTTAAAGTTGTACTGGCTTTTAAATAACCAAATGGATATCCAAGTTCATTGTACTTTCCACTGCTAGTAACAAATACCTAAGAGGAACATGAAGTAATGCACAGTGTTGAAAATAAGGATTTTATGTCAAACCAAACCCACAGTAACATTCCATAGCAGCATCTATGGCACAATTTGATTGTAGTTTAAAAATAGCAATAGTGGTTTTAGCCTATGGTTATGTCAAAATGTATTATAGTAGGCCAGGCTTATGTACTAGGATTACAAGTGGCTCACGGTTGTAATCCTAGCACTTTGGGAGACTGAGGTTGAAGGATTGCTTGAGGTCAGGAGTTTGAGACCAGGCTGGGCAACACAGGGAGACCTCATCTCTACAACAAATTTAAAAAATTAGCCAAGTGTGGTGGCATGCGCCTATGGTCCCAGATCCTTGGGAGGCTGAGGCAGGAGGATGGCTTGAGCCCAGGAGGTCGAGGCTGCAGTGAGCCATGACTATGCCACTACATTCTACCCTGTATGGCAGAGCGAGATCCTGTCTCAAAAAAAAAAAAAAATCATATTAAATACGAATGTTCAGATTGCATCTTTTCTATAAATTATATTAAGAAATGAAACTATACTATGCAACAACCATTCAGAGACCACAGGCCACATCAACAGTACCCAAATATTTACTTACTTAGCACAATGAAAAATAAAGCTGAAATACTGCTAAGAGGAAATCAGCCACTAAAACAAATAAACTTCTCAAAAGAACAAGTGGTAACCAGAACAAGTGGTAACCAGAGCGCAGACTGTGATGAAAATAGAACATGGTCCCATGCCTGAAGCATGAAATTACAGAAACAAATCCTACTTAAAGGATTATATAAACAGTCTTCATTGTACTATTATTAAGTCTTCGCTCTATTCCTCTTTCTGCCCCCTTCCCCTATCCCTTTATTCATTTTTCATTCAATAAATATTTACTGAGTAACCTATTACAGTAAACCAGTCATTGGTGCTAATTGTTTTGAGGCAGCAAGGAGATACTTTGGGTCAATCTGGAAGGCATTTTCTCTTATAAGTTATGCCGATAGTGGCCAAGTACAGTGGCTCACACCTGTAATCCTAGCACTTTGGGAGGCCAAAGAGGGAGGATCACCTGAGGTCAGGAGTTTGAGACCAGCCTGACCAACATGGTGAAACCCTATCTCTACTAAAAAATACAAAAATTAGCTGGGCGTGGTGGCGTGCCTTTAATCCCAACTACTCGAGAGGCTGAGCATGACAATCACTTGAACCCGGGAGGTAGAGGGTGCAGTGAGCATTGTGCCACTGCACTCCAGCCTGGGTGACAGAGCAGGACTCCGTCTCAAAAATAATAATAAATAAATAAATAAAAATTAAAAAGTTATGCTGGTAAACATTCAATGAAGATTAAAACATTGATCTTGATTCCATACAACTTTCTTACTCCTTATTGATTACCTGATGTGATTCCTGTATCATCAGCCCCCATACAGTTGATACGTTGTGCTTGGGTCCCCTAGCTGCCATGTTTCCTCTGTTCCATGTTCAGAGTCCTTGCTCCAAACTATCAATATATACCTTTAGAGACCTGGACCTTTACTTTTCCAAAGTCCTTTGGCAGGATCGTTTACAACAAAAGTCGAACCCTGACATTTAACAGAATCCATTTGCCTTGCTAGTTCTTGGTACCAGCAATATCACCTACCAATTCACGACTTTCTTATAATATTAAGTTTATCACCAAGAATAAATTGATATAATTTATGTAATGTAATTTATGACCCCATAGAACATGAGTTGTACTAAAACATGAGTCTACTAGATTTTGTGTCATAATTTGAACCATAATAGAGAGAACTGCAATAAAGCATGCTGGATTTTATTTCCTAAGTGTGTATATTAGAAGAGAGGAAAAATTCATCAAAGAAAGATTAAAAAAAAAATCACATGCACAAGGCAGTCAAGGGTCAGATCTATGATTCCTATGAAAGGAAAAGCACTGTATTTTGTTTCTTTCTTTCTCTTTCCTACCTTCCTTGGCCCCTTGAGTTTTTCCTCCTTATCAGCCAAAGATTCATGAATTTTTAGGGCTCTAAAGGATCTTTAGAGCTAGTTCAGAGAAAGTAAGTGCCTAGTGCAAGGCCACACATTTGGTGACAGAACTAGGGTTAGGCTCCAGTCTCCATTGTGGTTTTGCCAAATTTCCTGGCTCCTGGTTCATTTTATTCTTTTTCACTCCCACTAATTTATCACATTAAGAATACTCTAAGCCAGGCATGGTGGCTCACACCTGTAATCCCAGCACTTTGGGAGGCTGAAGTGGGCAGATCACCTGAGGTCGAGACCAACCTGACCAACATGGAGAAACCCCCGTCTCTATTAAAAATACAAAAATTGGCCAGGCGTAGTAGTGTATACCTATAATCCCAGCTACTTGGGAGGCTGAGTCAGGAGAATTGCTTGAACCCAGGAGGTGGAGGTTGCAGTGAGCCAAGATCACTCCATTGCACTCCAGCCTAGGCAACAAGAGC